GGAACAAATTGAACAAACGTTAGACAGAGTACCGTAAAAACATTTGAAATTCTTTTAATTTTTGAAGTGTCATCATTTCTTTAGAATTGTGTCATCTTAGTTCACTGAATTTATTTGTATTTATCGCATAACCATGGAACATATCATTTACAGTAGTGATGTTTAGTGTGAAATATTACTGATAATTCACCCTAAACGTTTAAAAAGTTTACATCATTTATTCATGGAGCTGATTGATACGAGTGACATCATGGTCTAATATTATCCACAATCTGAAACTCGTAACATCACCAGTATCATATATATCATGCAAATTATGTGTGATCAAGTCATGTGATGTATTTGATGTTACTTCATCTGCAATTTGATTGGTTAATGCACACAATTTGAGACAATTTGTGATGTCATCAACTGACCATCTTATAAGATCGTCAAAAAATACATGGCTTGTTTGCCAGTTGGACAAATTATTTTTGTCATAACTAATTTGATATGCAAGTACTTTGGATGGTTCTTTCTCAGAATTGTTCATTTCATGTCAAAATCCCAAATTTTCTATTTTTTGTGAATATTTTTGTAATTTTTGGTAAAAAGTGATATTTTCGACTTCCTGTTAAAAACTGCAAATCTGATTGCTTTGATACCACACATATAGGTACTACATGTGGACCTTTCTCAGATTTGTTCATTTTTTGATGATATCTTTAATTATCTAATTTTTATGAATATTTTTGTCATTTTTGGTAAAACGTGATATTTTCAAATTCTTGTTGAAAACAGCAAGTCCGATTGCTTTGATACTATACATATTGTTCATTTTCTAATGATATCTTCAGTTCTTTAATTGAAATGTGCCTTGCTAACAGCGAACAGGCTGCTCGTTTGAAATATTGTTAATTGGAATGTTTCGGCTATATGCTGATAGTTTCAAACATTTGCCGAAAAGCATTTTTAAATTAATTTTATAAAGTCTAATTTGTGACTATTGCAGACATCCTGGCATGAGATAGCAAGACCACAAGTACATGGGTATGACATGCAGTGTATAGCAATGATGAGTCGATACAGAATGGTGTCGGGGGCAGATGAAAAGGTAATATTTTAAAGCAACAAACTTCTTCCATTTTTAAATAATAAAACATATCCTGTGTCATTGATGCAAATTTGTAATGGTCCTCACCGAAATAGCGTATATGCTTTATACCGCCATTGTACATTAAATCACTTGCAAGTGAAAAAATATGGCCACATGGTTGCGTCTGGGTCCCTAGGGTGCAGTCTATTAAAATCCACAATAATATTGGACTGTGGGATAAATATTAAATGCTTACCAGCTTTGAGGCTAAGTCTCTTCCCTGTCAGCCTCTCATTGGTGTTTTTATAAGCATGATAGTGTGCACATCTAATCTGCATACATTATCCATACCAGAAATTTGAAAATCATTTATTTGCACATGTATGTAACCTGGTAGTATTTTGTTGTTTTCACTGATTGACAATGATTGAAGTGATTGACATTTCAACACACGGTACAGAGCACTTGTAGGATAGTTAATTTTCCAGTATTGTCAGATTCAATGTGGTCATATGGAATAAAGTTTTGTCATCAAAGTCATTCAAATATAAATATGTTCGCAACTATTTCACGGATCCTAACATACAATGATGTAATACATATTAGTTAACTTTATTTTGTACTCATGATTCACCCATGTCTTTATTTATTACGTATGAAAAGTCAAAGTTATTAACAATAAGCTCATTTCAAGTTTTGTTTTCCATTTTGAATACTCCATAATGTTTGGGGTCACAGGGTCAGATGATAAAGTTTAACATATTATTTGAAATAATACTTACAGCAATGTCTTACTGACATCAGATGTCTGACAGGGGCTATTTCATCTCCAGTGAAATTTGATTTTCTCTTTTTATACTTCTCACACAGGTTGTGAGGATTTTCAGTGCACCCAAAAACTTCATAGATAATTTTGGTAAAATCTGTGAAGTGGACGTCACAAAAGATTTGCAGAACACGGTTAGTTTGCATCATTCTGAAAAGATGTTTGTAAATAGCTTGGAACGCCATAATTGACATGAATTTTACATGTTTTATAAATCACATTGGACCCACATTTATGACATGACTGTCAACATTGTGAACCATATTGTAAGTTTATCCAAGTTTTTCAAATATTTGAATCAATCTGATCTGCAGCCAAAGAAAAGTTACATAACATTTGGTTCAAAATGCAGGAAGAAATTATTGACAAATATATAAAAAGAGGCAAATTTTGCCTATACATTGGCTGGAAAGATTAAGGCATTTTTGAAGTAAAAATACGAATGTGAACAAAATTACTAGACCTTTAACTATATGTTGTAAATTCTTTTTTTCAAGTTTATTTTTTTCTACTACACTTATTCAACAAATTTAAATTCTTTACAATAAAAAGATGAATTAATGTTATGCACCAACCAGACTGTGTAGCCCATCATGCAATGGGGCAATCCCAGTGATTTACAGATGTCTCTTAAAATAATATGACAGCTGTATAATAATGAATATATGATTATTTCTGATCATCAGGCTGATGAGAGTGTACCGGAAGGTGCCAGTGTACCAGCATTGGGATTGTCAAATAAAGCAATATACGATGGAGACCTGGTACAACCAGTTAACGAAATCCATCCAAATGAACAATATCCAGAACTGTACTTTCATTCGCTGAACATGACAGGTAATACCGGAATGAAAAGATTTCTCAGTAGTGACAAAAAATTCACTCTTGATGTATTTTTGTTCTTTATTTGTGTGTCAGTTATTGATGTCGGCTTCGGTGTTTATTTGCATTCTTTTCTGTGTGTGGCGTGCGTGAGTGCGTGCATGCATGTGTGAGAGTACAATGAGATCTCGCACTGAAATTTGACAACATAAATCTTATCCTCGTGTGTAAATTTGCGAAATATAATTTTTTATTATGTCTTCAGAGCCACCGACAGAGGAACATTTATTACAGAATTCGTTGTGGCCGGAAATCCAAAAACTGTATGGCCATGGTTATGAGATATTCAGTATTGCAGCGCACCCACATGGACATGTGCTAGCTTCAGCTTGTAAGGTCAGTATCACAATATATGGTATGTTTTAAAATTATGGAGTTTAAAAAGCTAATAATGATTCAAATATACCGTAGATGAATTTGTACATGGGAGAAGTTCAAGTTTACTTGTATTTTACTAGGCTGCTAAACCTGAACATGCTGCCATCATATTATGGGATGCCAGGACGTGGAGGCAGATGGTGTCACTAATGGCCCATTCTTTGACAGTCACACAACTAGCGTTTTCACATAATGGCAAATATTTACTGGCTGTATCAAGAGACAGGACCTGGTCTCTTTTCAGGGAAAGAACGACTGACCAGTCAGAAGCAGGTATGCTAATTATTTTCGATAAACTAGCAACATTATGGCACCCATAAAATGCTTACACTAAAATAAAGAAACATAGTAAGACTGTGAAATAGAGTATTACATTGTCTTTGCCGACTATGCAAACATTTTTTTACTACTGTAAAATCCCTAATATTATTATTTTACGAAAATTTAGCTAACATTTTTTGCTACTGGTATTCCTGATTCCCAAATTCCACAGAGGCAAGCTAGTTCATTTTGCATGTACTGTTACACTGCTTTTTTTGAACATTCATAATCTGTCCTACCATCT